CCCCCCACAGTCCAGCGCTGCTGCCTCACATACCAGCAGGCCCCTTCGTGCAAGGAGCTGGACTTGCTTCGCTGAAGTTGGTTGATGTTGCTGCTTTTCTTGCCAGCAGTAACCTGGGCTTCGGGGAGGGTGTTGTGCCTTAACTCCCCGTGCACAAAAGCCTGAACGCAGTTCAGACCAAGGTGACGTCGCAGAATCCATCACCCAGAAGACAACCCTGTTCCCGTAGGGCCTTTTTCCCCCTCCAGTGCCTCGAGCTGCAATATTTAAGCCCAGTTTCCCTGCACTTGTCTTTGGGCCGTGTTCCTTCCCGGCACAGCATCACCCATTAGCTGGGCAACATTTTCTGGGCTTCTCCCCCAACGATGCCAATTTATCCGTGGCAGAGAGATTGATTGTTCTCTACAGCTCTGCTCCGTGGGGCAGGCTGTCCTCTGGATCTGGGGGTATAGACGTGGTAAAACAAAGTCACGGCAGAGCTTTAGGTTTGGGCAGCTTATTTTAGTCACATGTATTTGTTAAGACCCGGAACGCTCAGGTCCTAGTCCAGGTTTTGCCAGTCTCACCAGAAAAGATGTAAGAGATCAGGTTTGCAGAAGCCTTTGCCTTACTGCAAGGGCCGGAGCTTCAAAAGCAGCCTGAGCTTTCCTGCAGGTCCAGCTCTGATTCTGGCTGCTGCTTTTCAGCGTTTTGCCTTATCTGCTATTCTTCAATCTCTTGTCTGCGAAATAGGAGCAATATCTAATAGTCCCCTGAGGGGGGGGATGGCTGATGGAGTGGTGTGATGTCCTCAGCTGAGTGGAACAGCGCTGTGCTCCGACCTGCTGTCTCTGTGGCTCTCCTGCTGCCAGGCAATCTGGTTCGTAAATAAATCTGAGTTTTCCAGGGACGCTTCTCTCCTTCCCTGTGCTCCCTGTTGGGTGGCTTAAAAGTTAAGGAGACTATTCAGTTGGTTGTTTTTCACTTCGTAAACTGAGCTAGAAGTAGGCCAGGTCCAGCTGGTGAGGGATCTTGAGGGGTTGCCAGGTCTCAGTTGTGTTTTATACCTTAAGATGCTACAAAATAGAGGGGAAGTTTGACCAGACACCAGGGTCCTCCACTGCACAGGTGTCATGGTTTGAGCTCGCTACTAAGAAGAAAAAATAATTCTATCCCAGCTGAAACCAGGACAGCAGGGACATCCAGTGTGCCTGGCGTGGGTTTGTGTCAGGGGCACCTGCAGAGCTGCTCCCTGCCCCTCGAGTGCTTGTCACCCTGTGGAGCACAGGCAGCCCCAAGCTGCTGTGGGGGCCCCCCCTGCCTTGCCACGTGCAGGTGTTGGGGGGACAGGAGAGCAGCGCCAACGGGAGCCACGCTTTGGTGGAGATGGGCTGTCGAGTTAGCAGTACGGCAGGTACCGGCATCCGCTCTGAAAAGGCTTTGTTCTAGCTGGGGCACGGCAGACTGTGTTGCACCACTGCCTCCTCCCCGAAGTACAGTGTTTTGGAGCCCATCCCTTTATCGTAAATCAACAACAGAGCTAATAGTCATATCGAGGAAGTGAGATAATATCTGAGCCCAAGGTGGGCTCCGAAATGGGTGCGTGAGACATGTACAAGTTTGGGGGAAGAGGGAAAGGGGGGCTGCGGTAGGAGCTCTTTATCTGAGAGGAAATTGCACTATTCGAGTGGGAGAGAACGTGTGTGTGTGTGTGTGTGTGTGTGTGCATTTGTGTAAATAACACTCGCCAGGAGCATGAAAGCACCCCCGGAGCAGGACGGGCTCGCTGCCAGCACCTGGGGTCGTGTTGGCACATTACAAACACGGGTTGACCCGTGTGCGCCCAAGCTGGGGTCGGTCTGGCCAAAAGAGGAGCTGGTCACTGCCCCCTCCCCAGCCTGGCAGCTCGAGAGGATGAGAGCAAGTCCCCAGGAGCCCCAGGGCTCACGG